AAGATATGACAAAATTATAATTTATAAATTATCAAGGACTCATGAAGGAGGGCGAGCTGGGAGGGAGGGGAAAAAATGAGGACCTGATGCCGGGGGCTTAAGTGGAGAGCAAATATTTTGAGAATGACGAGGGCAATGAATGTACAAATGTGCTTTATACAATTGATGTATATATGAATTGTGATGAGTCATATGAGCCCCTAATAAAACAATTAAAAAAAGAAAGCGAAGAAATAACAAAATAAAATAAAATTTAAAAATTAAAAAAAAAAAGAAATCTATGCTTTTATTATAGACCAATAAGCATGTTGCTCTTGATTGCAGTTGTGTACGTTCCAGCTCATGGCCGCTCCTTGAGTGCAGAGTAGAGCTGCTCCGTGCAATTGTCAAGGCTGTGGCCGTGGAACACTGATTGCCTGGCCTGCCTCCTGATGGGTCTCTTGAGTAGGTTTGAGCTAGTGTTTTAAACCAGTTATTTCCTGTTCTGGTTTGAAATTTGCATTTCCACTCCAGATACATAAGAATGTATACATTGAAGTCACCTGAGGAACTTGTTAAAATGTAGAGTCTGATTCAGTGTATCTGGGGTGCCAAGGCAAAGCTGGGGTTGAATAGGCATGGGCCAGTTCAAAGCCTTGGCTTGAGCCATTAACCTTTCAGTTAGTAGTTGAGTTTATAACATCTGTGTCATCCCATGCGTGGAGAAAAATTGTTATTACCATAATTCTTCAGTAACTATTGATCAGTGACTGGCTTCTTCTGTTTACATATTTTATTATGTTGTTTACTCCTTTAGATTTTTATTAACAATGAGTGGCAGAACTCAGAGAGTGGAAGAGTGTTCCCTGTCTATAATCCAGCCACAGGAGAACAGGTGTGTGAAGTTCAAGAGGCAGACAAGGTATGTATTTCTTAGAAAAATATTCCTTTGAGATAATTAACTTCAACCAGCAGATCACTAAACTTATGCTCTTCATTCAAGTACTTTATGATGCGGCAATCTTTCTACTGGGTATACGAGGGGGTACCCCCCAAAAAGACTGGAATTTTTTTTCAAAGCTATGTATTTATTTTTTTTACAAAACAATCTTATTTCAAAGTACTCTCCATTAAACTCAATACATTTGTCAAATCTGAGGTTCCATTCATGTTAACATTTTTCTTTTTTTTTAACCACCCTGTAATTT